ATAGAGTTATTTTTTCTAAACCTAGAATGGTTGCCCAGTCAACTACTAGTTTTCCAGGCCAAAGCCAAGAGTTACCTTGGATTTGTTCCTCACAGACAATTAAACTCAAAGATCCACAAATCCCAGCTCTGTCAATTATCAATTTATTGCCTCTCAGTTCTAAATGTACCATTTAGTACATGCTCTATGATAAATACCAGAATACCCCTAAGCATGTCTCCTTTAAATTGTGCACCATGGTATGCTTTTGCAGTAGAGAGTGCTAGACAGAGATAGCAGGAAGAGGCTTTTTGCAACTTCTAGCTGGGGTGGTGGGGGTGGTGTGAGGGTCAGCAGTGTAGGTGTCAGAACATCCAACAGCCTCTACCCAGCCAAGGGCCCAGACCACAGACCCTCTGCCACTTTTTGCTCCTTCTGCCTGGCATTAACCTTCCCTCAGGCTCTTGTCTAGTCTCCATCCATTCATAAGTGAAAAAGGTGATTTTTTTTGCTGAATTGAATAGCAGCTTTGAATGCTGGACGAATATTTCTTCAATATGTTTTGTGCTATTACAATGTATATGACACACTTGTATATTTAACCTGCATTGTTAACATATTCTCCATTGCTTCCTTAAGTTTAGACAATCAACGAAACAATAAATCAAGCTCTGGTCTCCAGTGTTTGCTGATTTCCATTATGTAATTGCTGCCACCAGGGTTAATTTCAAGCTACCAACGTGACACCACTGAATATGCAGTTGAAAAGAGATGTGCAATAGCACACCATCGTACAGTATTTCCACCACACAAATATAATTGTCATAGATAACCCCAAGAGTGTACATGACAGCAAAATGAAGTAAACTAGTCAGAAAGTAAGGAGTTTTGAGCAAATTACCTTTATATTAAATTTAATTTATTTGTTGTGAAACTTTATATAATTTAATTTTAATAATTAACAACTGACTATCAAAATTCCTGAAACTGTACCATTCACCTCTTGTGAGCCAGGGTGAACCAGCATGTCACTGGATCAGACAAGAATCTACTATACCACCCAGCCGCCCACCCATTCATTGATTCTTTACATTTCAAACATAGACAGGTCACAAGCTCTCATCCACAATTCCAAAGTCAACAAAACTCTAAAAATAGCAGCTGTGGTACAAACTCACTTTTTGAAACAGCACGAGTCCATTTATTCTATTTTTAATATCACATGTTTCCCTGAAAAAAATATTAATGTGTTTAATGATGGGGGCTGCCCCAGACCTCCACTTAAGGCATAATATAAACAGTATATTTGTTGTTTTTCTTTTCTAAAGTCTGAAAAGTTATCAATCTGACTCACATCTGGTCCCAAGGGTTTGGATAAGGGATTGTAGACCTTTAATGATCTTCATAAAAGATATAGCCACACTTCCTCACCCATACGTGCCTCCCCATCACCTATGGGATAGCACCTAAGTTCTTAAACATGATACACAAGGCCTTTTAGCACATGTTCACAGTTCTCACCTTGCCCTCTGATATCACACTACTTCTAGGAGTCTGAACAGCCATAACTAAACATGGATCTAGGCTTGTTATTCACACCTACACCTTATACCCTTTGGGAAAGAATCAAAACCCTGCTAAGGTAGAGGTGCAATCCATCTTCCTTGCTCTATCACTTATGTGATCTTCAACTGGCAACTTCACCTTCCCTAGTCTCCATTTCTCATCTGCAAAATGGGAATCATAAAACCAGCAAGGTTATAGTGAAAATAAAGCAGGTTTGTGTACATGAAGATACTTTGTAATGTGCTGTATACATTAAAAAGGCTTTAACACTCATCATTCTGAAAGTGGAATATTTGTTTGAAAGCCAACATTCTCTAAACTGTTGGATGAGCAGCTAAGGGTTTCTCATCTCCATAAAAGGAGCTGAAAGCTGATGTGTATAAAGCCTAGTCATTTTTACCACATACACACAAAAAAGGTTACACTTGAAAAGAGTCTCATATGATTGATGGGGTTGGAGAAGTTAGTGTAATTACAGCTTTGGAATTCATAAGGACTGAATGGTTGGGTCTCATTTTTTTTTTCCATTAAAATTTATTTGGGTGACAATGGATTGTAAAATTACATAAGTTTCCAGTGTACAATTCTGTAATACATCCTCTTTATGTCACACTGTGTGTTCATCACCTAGAGTCAGTTCTCCTTCCATCACCATATATTTGACCCCCATTACCCTCTTTTACCACTCCCCTCCCCCCTTATCTTCTGGTAACCACTGAACTATTGTCTGTGTCTATGAGTTTTTGTTTCTTTCTTTGTCTTGTTCCTTTGTTGCTTTCAGTTTTATATTCCACATATCATGACACAAAAGAGGAAAGGGGACAAGAGTAGCCCCAGCTCTTACCTTTCTGGGCCTGTGTTTATATGTTTGTTTAGTTCAGGGTTTTGTTTTGTTTTGTTTTGTGGTTAATTGGAGGTTGGTTTTTGTTGTTTTTTCTGCCTTTCCCTGCATTAATGCACAAACAAATGAAACACTTAAGTGTGAAAGTTCATTCATAACTTCTATGAGTATGCATGTCCCTCCTTTGCCAAACAGCCTCCCATCTTTTGCTTGAACAGTCACAGTGGCTGGGAGCCTATTCATTTAGTCCAGATGTCTGAACCATCTTGACAACTGGCAGCTGTTTACATTGCAAGAAGGCAGTCCAAACCAGCTATAAGGCTTAAGAGGCCAAAAAAAAGAAAGAAAAAGAAGAGAAAAGAAAGAAAGAAACCTGAAAATTCTTACTATGGTAGAAATGACTGGAATCAGACTTTTTCTTTAAAGTAGCTTTTGATGGAGATTAAAGAGAAGCAAAACGATTTCAGCAGAGTGAAACATGAAAAAGAATGGCTATTTAAAGAGGAGAAATGAGTTCCAAGTACAAAGGAAGAAAGTCTGACAGCAAATAAGCAAATATGATTGCTTGGAATTCCATGTGCACAGGACACATCCCTGATTTTTCTCTTTAATATAAATGGGTACAACAAAACAAAAGAGAAATAGAAAACTAGTTATCATATAGTTCTTATAACCTCTTGGAGCGTCCTATTAGGTTCAGAGCTGGGCATAAAATTTGAGTCTTTGGGACACAGTTTTTTTATATTTATCTGAAAGTTGCTGGTTTTACCAATCATCCTAGTTGATGTCAAATCAAGCACAGAGAATTATGGTGCTAAGCCTCAGTAGATCAGACAATTTAATTCATCTTTGGACAATTGATATCTACAACTCTTTGTAATCACTGAACAAAATGTTCAAACAACAAAAAATCAAGTTTCTATACAAATAAAACCATGCAATTAAAATAGGCACTCTTAAAGAACCACTGCTTCTATTATTTGAGAATTCAAAAATAGCCACCACTCAATTTTGAAAGGCCACACTTGTGCATTCTTTCTTAATTGTAGAAACAAAATAGGTTAAGTGTTTACCTCTAATTTGACCTTCAGAATTTAAGCAGATATCTGTTCTAATCAAGGGGACTTTTCATCTGCACAAGTCAAATTTTTCTCTGTGGATGGGAGGTGGGAAGTGGAAAATAAAATGTGCATTGGTGAAAGTAAATAAATGAAAATCCTGAATTATAGACTTTTCATTTGTGGTAATACAGAGATGATAGAGGTAGAGATAGAAGTAAAGGCAGAGGATTCCAAAAGAAAAGACCTTTTATCAATAGTATTTGTGAACAAAAGAGGGGCAGTAATATCTGTTGAAAATCCACTATGTGCTGGGGACTTTGCTAAGAATCTTACCATATTATCTTGTTTAGGCCTTATAACAACTCTTCAGGTCCATATCATTATCTCCAATTTATGGATGAAGAAACCAATATTCAGAAATTGTCAGGTGAGTTTTCAAAGTTTATTTTCATTCAATTCTTGGAACCCATTTGAAACAAGAATATAATGTGGTGGTCAGTCAGCTCTCAACTCACAGGTGATCGGGTTCTACATTCACTGATTGAGAAATGTGTTCTGCTGGCCTGGGTGGTTAAATATTCAAGTGTTGCCCTCTTGAAATTTAGTCAAATTAGATTCTCTGTCCATGAGTGAAAGGTTAAATTCTTCTTCACTCAAGGTATAGGAATTACTAAACTTTTCTGCTGGAAAATTTGGTGATCATGTTGCTAAGCCAGAAAACTCACGGCGCCAATTAAGCATCGGAAATGGAGTTCTAATTTCATTCTCCATTTAATATTATGGATTCCATAGCAGAAAAGAGGTGCCTCTTGCCTTTATTATGTGAATATTTTACTTATTATTGTAAAGGTCATGTATTCCTATTACTTTCCTGGTGGATAAAGAAAAGGTCAAACAGACACTAGAGTTTCAGGGCAGGACAGAAGGGCCATTACCTTCATGGAGTTCTTTGCAGTGGGCATCCTTACAGCTCAGGTAAGGCTTGGGTGTGAGTGGAACTGTTAGTGAAGTGATGTGGACTGCAGTGTTAGCCTTTGTTTCTATCCTAAGTCTGGGCAGGTGGTCTGTCTTCTCCATCCTGCACAATTTCCCTGGCTCGGCTGCTCATGTTATTGTGTACAAGATAAAATTCAAACTGTATGTGTTGTTCCTCTTTCCTAATATTCCTGTCTACTGTCTCAGAGTGGGATGGTTTGTAGCCTAATGCCCCTGGAGGGAGAGTATGTATAAGAGAGAGAGATTGAAGCCAGAGAATTAAGTTAGGAGCACTGATGCCATAGCCTTGGAAAGCAGTGCAGGGGGCCTGACCTCAGGTAGTCATAGTGATAGCTGAGTGAAGTGACTAGCCTGGAAAACAGTTGTAGGAGTAACACCTGCTCATACCCCCAGCCATGGAGTATCAAGAAAGCTTCCTCTCTAACTGGATATGTCAATCAATTACCTTGCATAGCAACCAGGAGAAATTCTCCCACAGGTCTATCTTCTATTCTGTTACAGTGGTGTCAAGGAAAATGCTAAATTTCCACAGCCCCTACTAAGCCATAACTACTCACTCTGTCAACAGCCAGAAGCCTTGGATTTTCTCTTCAGAGGTCTTGGCTACGTGGCTTTTCAAGTCTTCCATGGCAGTCTCAATGGCCCCCGGCTGCGTGAGGAAAAGGAAAAATAAAACCTAGTTTAGAGAAGACCAGTCCTCTTTGTGCTTGTGATTAGTTATTGCATCCCTGCCGCTACTCCAGAAAGCTGTGCAGGAGAGATAGCTCTTGCATTTCCTTCTTTGTTCTAGGCACAGCCTTCCAGACATCTTAGCTTGGAACTCTGGTACTAAGCTGCTTTCCCTGGGAGGGGCAAACGTCACCCACATCCTGTCTTCCATAATCTTACACTTTCTCATAGAAGTGAAGACAGCCATTTTCAGTGGACAAGTTTTCCTGAATGAACATGTTTATCAGGAAGTTCAAAGCATTTAGCAATATATACATTTTAAAAATCAAACCTTTCTCTCTTCAAAGAGCACATGGCAATCAAACACAAAAGAGAAAACTTCTTTTAATAGTCTGACCATCGTTTTTGCTGTCTCTGGGAAATGAACTTTTTTGTCTCCTTAACTCGCTTTATTCACCCTTCTCCAAGCAGGTGTTTCTACTTACGGGCCTACCTCCAACTTAAAAATCGATTAATCCCTGCCCGAATAAGTAGTTCATAGACCCTCCAGCTTAGTGACCCTCACCTTCAGTGCACATCAGAATTACCTGAAGAGTGTTTTAAAACACAGATGCCTGGGCACCGTCCCCAGAGTTTCTGAATCAATAGGCCTGGAGGAGGCTTGAGAATTTGCATTTCTGACAAGTTCCCAGGTGATATTGTGGGTGTAGGACTCTACCACAAGAACCATTGTTCTCTAGACAGCTGTTCTCAATCTTGGCTACACATCACAGTCACCAGGGAAGTGTCTAAAAAATCCTAAAGCCCAGGTTGTATACCAGGTTGATTATATCAGAAACTCAGTGGATGGGACCCACATATCAGCACATCAGGGTTTTTTAAAGCATCCCACATGACTCCAATGTGCAATCAAGGTTGAGAACAACTACAGTTTAGGGCTTATTTAGTCTAAGCCATTTCATTTTCTAGGTTTAGAAACAGGGACCAGTGCAGGGACCAGTTTTACTTGTCAAGTTCACTGAGCTATGAAGTGGAAGAGACAGGAAACCTAGACCTTCCATTTCTGGACCTACAATGCAGTTCTGGGCTACTAACACATAGCTTGAAAATTCTCATATATTCTCTATATAATAGGCCTTTAAAGCTAAATGCCTAATCTCTAAATCCTAATCCTCCCAGCCTTAGGCCCTTCTCTCAGAAAAGGAAAGGAGGACACCAGTCTGGCTAAGATTCATTCAATTTCCTCCCAGAGATGGGGTGCTGGTAGTTTGCTTGTTTTCTCCATCTGTGATAAAAGGCTTTGAAACATTTTAGCCACAGAGTTCATCAGTCAAGAAAAATACAATATAGGAATCAATATGTGAAAAGTAGGAACAGAATGGAGCTGTTTCCGGCAAGTGGCAGTAAAGGTGTAGAGCTTTACCTACTTAGCTCTCCCCTTCCCTCCAATTTACTGCACATAGCCCAAGTTAGCCAGGACAGTGACAGGTCAAATCCTAAACAGAAATGAGGGACTTGGGTTCATATTCCAGATATGTCAGGAATGAATTCTGTGACTTATAGCCAATTATTTGGCGTTCCTTGTCCTCCATTTTCTTGTCTATAAACAAACTGAATAGACTAAACCAAAGCTTTCTGAACCAAGCTGATGATCAGAATCTGGAAATATTTAATAAAATATGATCATAGCCCTTACACCAAGAGATTCTGGTTTTGTCATTTAAACACATGTCTTATTGAATTGGATGGTCAGCCGTGGAATGAATGACATCTGACTCTTGTCATTCCCTGATGCTGGTTGAAGAGTTGTCAAAAAGCTAATATGGCACCTCATGCTTCTGAAACCTGCATGCCATGAAATCAGTAAGTTCTGGGACATCAATTAAATATGCCTTGAGCTCCCACTGACAGAGGTGATTGTGCTAATATCACTGGTTTCCAGTGACCCTACTGGCAGAACTGGGCTACCATAGGAGGGAAATTTCCTATAATCCCTTGACAATTCTTCTGTCACCCAACCTCACTCCCCTTGATTATAGCCTGACTCTACCAGACCCACTGGTCAAAGTTCTCTGAAAAATAATACATTCTATGATGACTCATTATGGGTATTTTTCCTGTCTTTCTCCCTGTATTCACATAATTTCTGCCACAGTTGAGATAACTTGATGGTGAAACTAATACTTTTCAGGAGAAAAAAAAAATCATAAATGGAATGGGAGAATAATGAAATAATCCTAAAACAAGCATTTTGTTGAATGTTTTTATGCCAGGTACTTTGCCAAAAATCTTTGAAGATGAATATAATAATGTAGAATTCTTCAAAACCTTACTTGTCTTTGTTATAAAAAGCAATTGGCAAAATCTACTGAAATGATCTATGCTTCGATCCTCATATTCCACCTCTGTGAAGTTACATTATAGATACCGTTGCATGTATGCAAAATGACATGTGTCAAGTGTTCTTTACAGCCTTGTTTGTTGATAGCAAAAATATGGAAACAACCCAGATATCTGTCAATAAAGGACTAGTTAAATATATTATGGAACACATCTATACAATGAAATATAATAAATGTATTTAAAAATTAGGAAATTTGTATTAAGATGGAAATATTTCAAAGTATATTAAGTGAAAGAAATGTTCAGAAGAGAAATAAATACACCACCTTTTGTGTAAAAAGGACAAGGAATAAGAATAAATATTTGTGTTTGCTTGTGTAGTCCTTAAGTAATTCTAAAAGGATATATAGAAATTGTTACCAATGGTTCCCTAATGATGGAGAAGGCAATTGATGGATGGTGGTGATGTTTTACTGTACACCCTTTCAAAAGTTAAACGGCAAAATAAGTGTGTGCTTTACTGAATGGTTTGGAAGTCTCTGAAGTTCTGTCAATGTCCTCACTGTCTGTGATGCTATTTTGTCAATAGAAGCATTGGTCATGCCCTTATGGGACAGCTGCACATTGTACTCCAGTGAAGTATTTTACTTTCCTCCATTTGTTGTCATTGCTGCTATAATAAATTAACTTCAGCCATTAGTGTTGGAAGTGAAATAAAATGTGTGAACACTTTGACTTGTGTCAAGGACAAGGTATAAATCTCAACCTTGCAGCTTGCTGTGAGACCTATGTTGGGTCATTTTGTCTTTCTCTACATCAGTTTACTCATTTGTTAGTGGATAAGGTAACTTTAATTGTAACAGAGCCTTTGGGAGATACCAAAAACATCTGGTAACAATGAATAATGAAAGACTTTATTCTTATTGATAATATAAACAGAATGGAAATAGTTATACTAGGATTTGGGGATCAAATCATTATTGCAATGGAGCAATTAGTTCTGAGATGCCTCTTAGCCTAACAGGAAATAATGATGACATAATATGTACCCATCATCCACTGAAAGAAAGCTTAGAAAGACAGTATACATATATTTCTAATTCTAAATTTTAAGAAAAAAAAAACCATTCATGGGGATCCTTATTTTTAAGTCACTATGTAGCACATTGGGAAATATTTTCTCTAATAGTCTAGCACTGAATATCTTCAGTCAAAACAAAAACCACTGAGAGAATTTCAAATATATCTTTCTTCGCATTTCCTTGAACTAGACCAGCCTGGGTCAGTGGCCACACAGGCAATACTCATGTCAGCTGCTAAATTTTCTCATGTACTGGAATCCTTAACTCAATTGTGAGACAAGGGGGAACTATAGGCAGGAATGCTCCTATGGACTTGGATACAATATGACCTATCTTGTGGTTGTCACCATGCCCATATAGGATTGCTTTGTAGTAAATACGTAACATAAGAAAATAAGAAAACTGCTCTAAATTGTATGTGATTTGTAAAATCCAAGCAAATCTATCTTTCCCTGGAAATGAAGGAAATGCATCTTATTTCATTATTGTTAAATGTCTGCCCTCAGAAAGACACATTATCTTTATTATAATCTTCAAGGGCTTTTAGTGTAAGGAGGGGATTCGAGAAACCTTTTGTCCAGTGAGATATATAATTTCTAGACTAGAAAGAAGCTCACACAGACCATAACAATACAACTAATATAGTTAGCTGCTCCCAATGCAAGAGCAAGGCACAGGGAACCCTATAGTAAAAGACAAGGGAGAGGGAGAGAGTATGAAAGCCAAATTAGTGTCATGAAAGCAATGACATCTTGCTACACAATGGGAAGTCCCAAACCTGCTTATTAAAGTCTCGTTGCTCACAATAACACAGAGGCTATAAAAAGGCCACGGGGAACCATTAATTAAATATTAAAAGATCAAATAGTCTTAGTCCCATTAGTTTGTATGTAATTTACATTCTCAAGTATAAATTTAGAGATAATTCCCCATCCCTAATCGCTTTCAACTTTCTGATAAGGTATCTGCAAATATAGAGTCATACAGGGAGTTTAAAAATATCTTTCCCCATGTGGATCGAGTATTGTTTCTTTCATAAGAAGTTGCCTTTGAATATATGTCTCCACGATAAAGTGATTATCATAATATACCTTGAGTTATTAGCCTTTAGGGGTACTTTTGTTCAGAGAAGGCACTAGGCCTTTTTTTAGATATGGCTAAGTAATAATAGCAAATGAACTAAAACAGGAAGAAAAGGTTATCCAAGCAGACAGACAGCTAGTGGTTCATTCTGACCTTCATTACTGTAACCTCTCATACCATTGCCAAGGTCAGAAGCAGTGGAGGGGTGGTGGAAAGTGAAAGTCCAGTCTTGGCATGGCTCCTAAATTGCTGGTTGACCTTGGACAAGTCACACCTCCTTTGTGTTTTAGGGGTTGGATTAGTTATCTCTGAGCAAAAAAATGTTGCTAAACTGTATCAGATGGGCCCAGATTCAGTAAATAAAATATACGCTGGAAGCCTGAGAAAAAGAAGCAACATCTCGGAGTGACCCATAAAAGAACAGAAGAGGTTTAAGGGCCCACACTGACTTCTGTTATAACCTGGTACCCAG